CCACGCTCACTGCTCAAGTGCTGTGCAGCATCCTAAGTGCAAGAACCGAAGTGTGATGGTTCTTTAGAGAGAAAATGCCTGTGTTAGATGAGCTCTGATCAGCTTTGGTGAGTTCAGTGATAATGAATCAACAGTGTATATTAAACAAGGTGTCTTTTAACAGAAACACTCATGAAACAAGATTATGTATTGATCAGTTGGCAAAAATGTAGCCAGGAGCTTGCAGGAACCTAATGCCGCGTATCTCCTAGGAACAGTGGTTCAGTATTGGCTAATTCACTGTAGTGACTTTATAGAGCATAACTACCAGGAATTACAAGAATTGACCATATTTCTTTTATTTGTACATGAAATAGACTAACTATGCTCTTATAAGAGCATTGTTTCCTAGAAGTATCTATATTCCTCAACCTGTTTTGAGTGAACAAATTATCAGCAGTGATTTCATCACAAAAATCCATATTTACAACAAAACTATTCATTTCAAATACAAAAAAATACTTTTGTGTTTAATTTTTTTCAATTTGAAACTCTGTATATTCAATGACTCCACTATGCAGCTTGGTATTTTTTGGGCTGAATTCCTGGCACAAATGACAGAGTACTATAACTTTTATAATGTTATGTTTTAATTTTGAAAATCTTTATACTAAGATTTTATTAAAACTTTAATAAGAAATCTGAAGATTGTATACTTTGAAGTCAGATTTTGATTCAGTTCAAACACCTATTTTAAAGAATTTTGAAATCATGGAAGAGCCCAGCATGAAACTCTGCCGTATTTTGTATCTTGTAGAGCCAGATGTTGACACATTACTAATAATAACACAAGAATCTGTTTCATGCCATTGTTATTGGCACTATCATAATACATGCTGAGGTTTTAAATTTTTTGTGAAACATAGTACAGGCTTTTTTGTTTTTCAGGTTTGGGTTTGTTTGGTTGGTTTGGCCATCAATTATAAAAGAATTACATTTATGAGCAAAAGAATAACCATGGCTGAAATATCAAGTAACTAAAGGAGATGAAGAATTGTGTGTATCAATATGAACAAATGAGTTTATTCAGCAGGCATAACATCTGCACAACTGAAGTATTAAATTTTACCAAATTCTTCTCATTTTCATTTTATGAAAATATGATCTTGTCACAACAAATAGCTAATATTTTTGGAGCTGTGGAATGAACTTACATGCATTATCTCATTCCCAATATAACAACCTTTTGAAGTATAGATATTATCATGTAATATGCAAATTATCACATTACATATGAAGAAACTAAAGCTTAGAATAGTCGAATTCCCCAAGATCTTGTAAGTAATAACCAGTGGAGTCAGAATTTAAACTCAAGTCTGTTCGATTTCAGAGTCCACAACATTGTGCTCCCTCCATGACTTACTCTACAGCTTCTGCAATGGATATCATGTCGTTTTAAGAGTTCTATCACTTTTCTGACAGTTCCACCCACATTTCACATCACTGTTACCCTAAGGAGGATGGGGATGGAACTCTATAAACACCCTTTCCTTTCCCCAAAGCATAAATTTATGATATTAATCTTCCTCAAGAGGTTTATCATACTCTGTTTTTGCCCAGTATGAAGAACTGCTTTAAAGGGAAAGGTACATTCCAAAAGGGCAATTTGTTGTATTACTCATCAGTAGGAGAATAGAAAATGCAGTTTCCTTTCTCTGAATTATGTGTACATGAACCTCAAACTTCCACCCTCCACATCAAGTTTTTTTTTCCCCCTCCAAGAGCCAGCTGCTAGCTTTACCTCTTTCTACCTGCCGGATGCTTTCTGAATCACATTATCCAGTGCTCAATTTAAGTGATTCCCCATTAAAGTCCAGAGCCTAGGGAAATCACCCTGATTCTGTGTTCCCTGGCAACATCCCTGAGAATAACAACAGCTGCTTAACAGCTGCTTAGCCAGAAAGATGCTGCAGGGGAAATACACAGAAATTGATATTAAATGCTTTAAATCTTGAGACTTCAAACATTATAGTTACCATGTTGTATTATTTACCTTTAGTGGTACAAAAACAAAAGAGAGAAATAAATCTGATCATCAAAAAAGGGACAAGATATGCTAAATGACCTTAGCAAGCAGTGTGCTTCTAGATATTTTCTTGCTATGATAAACAGGGAAATAGCCATGATGGAAATAAAATACCTTTCTTTATAATTTTGAATCTTAAAATGTTAAATTTGTGTCAATTAAATTATACTTACGTTGTAATTTGATATGGCTTTGTTTAAACATTTAGCAAACTTAAAATTCCTTACAAATTTTTGTTGATAATCTTTATTTTTTCTGTTAATCATTTTTACTCTCTCTATAGTTTGCCTCTTCCAGAATGTCAAATAATTGGAATCATACATTATGTAGCCTTTTTAGATCATTTTCTTTCTCTTAGTAATATGCATTTTAAGTTTCCTCCATGTCTTTTCATGGCTTCATAGCTCAGTTCTTGTAGTTCTAAATATTTCACTGTATGTATGTACCACAGTTTATCCATTGACCTATTGAAGAATATCTTGGTTGCTTACAAGTTTTGGTAATTAGAATAAAGATGTTACAAACATTTGTGTACAGATTTTTATGTGGACTAAGTTTTCAACTTACTTGGGTAAATACCAGGGATCACAAATGCCAGATCATATGGTAAAAGAAACTGCCAGACTGTTTTCCAAAGTGACTGTACCATTTTGCATTCCCACACCTTTGCCTGCACTTGATGTTGTCAGTGTTTTGGATTTCAAGCATTCTAATGTATGTGTAGTATTTATTATCTCGTTGTTTTGATTTGAGATTGTAGAATAACACATGATGTGGAGTGTCTTTTCATATGTTTATTTACTACCTATAAATATTTTTTGGTGAGACATCTGTTGATCTTTTGCAAATTTTTAAGTGGGTTGTTTTCTTATTGTTGAATTTTAAGAGTTCTTTGTATATTTTAGATTCCAGTCCTTTGTCAGATAAGTGTTTTGCACATATTTTCTCTGGCTCTGTGTCTTGTCTTTTCAATCTTTTAATATCCTATATTAAAAATACAAATTTAACTATTATAGCCTAATCACTAATTTAAGAACTGCTACCATTATTGTGGTGTGTATTTTAGGGATAAAAGATTATTTTTTTGTGGTTTCTTTGTAAAAAATTAATTTCCCCACATTTAAAAACTATTAATATGTTCCTTCTCTTTGAACTCCCCATCCCTTTATACCTTAAGCTCTTGGGATTCCAAGCAGTTCACTGTAAAGAAGAGTGAAAAATTATCCTGGACTGTTTTTCTGTTCTGATCAACAAGTAACCCATTATAGTGGTCATTATCCAAATAATAGCCAATAACTCAGTAAATATACATGTGGAACATACCTTTTTGAATACTGAAAAAATACATCTTTGACATTCTTTGAAATTCCTAATAATTTTTTAAAATTTCCAGTCACCTCTGGAGGTTTTTTTTTCCTTTCTTTTTTTGTTAAATCTCATTATAAACAGTTAATTAAAACTATTTTATAGATAGCCCATGCTATGAAATTTATTTTAATGATTTTATATGAAAATCAATCCCCCCATTTTTAAATTACATGCACACACATATTAGTAGTCAACTCAGATTTATAAAACAAGAATATTTTGTTTGGAAAAGAGATCATGGAAGTATCTATATTAGTTAATAGCTCTTCCTGATTTCATGTTTCTCTATGAATTTATTTGCCTAGGAAAAGTTTCTTATTTTAAAGCCAAGATCAGGGGCACCTGGGTGGCTCAGTCGTTAAGCGTCTGCCTTCGGCTCAGGTCATGATCCCAGGGTCCTGGGATCAAGCCTTGCATCAGACTCCCTGCTCAGTGGTAAGATCGTATGCCCTCTCCCGCTCCCTCTGCTTGTGTTCCCTCTCACGCCGTCTCTCTCTCTCTCTCTGTCAAATAAATAAATAAAATCCTTTAAAAAAAAAAAAAGCCAAGATCAAATAGGAAGTCTAGGCCAGTAGTTTCCTAATATTTGTATACTAGGCAGTCCAACATTTCTTAACAGATAAATGTAGAGCCGCTCTGGTTGGAGGTCAAATGAAGGTAGAGGAGACTGGAGTATGCTCTTTTCTACCTTTTCACAGGTACCTCTGAGGAATCCACAGGGCTATATGGAGAAGAACTGGAAAATTAGTCTAAATTATGATGTTTATTTAAAGCAACAACAAAACCAAATAGTCATTACTAAGCTATTTATCATGGAGTTCTAGGTGTCTAATTTATAAGGTTTCTGAATTAGACTTCAGGGCCTATGTTACATTTTATTACAGTCTACAACTTAAGTGTAGACTGGCAGAACTAAAGGAAAAGCCTGTTTCACAGCTGTTATGCATCTGGGAGTTTGGTTAAAAGGGACTAGCTTAGCTTGGCCTGAGTTGTGATAAAAAGCAGGGTCTAGAGGCCTTTTAACTAAAGTCCTGTGCTCTGATCAGAGCTGTATTTAATACTGGCCCATAAGTCCACATAATTATAACTTGTAAGAGTCTTTAGGACATCAGTAACTTTTAAATCTTACCATGTGAAAAATGATTATGTCACCTGTGGACTCTAAAAGTAGTCAGCAAACTGGGATAAAGGTGATGATCAAATCAAAGATTTCTGCAACTTTCTCTGTCCAAGTTTTGTACTTAGGATGTTCCAGCTATTCTTTGTAATATACCACTCCTTTTTTTTTTTTAATTTTATTTATTTATTTGAGAGAGACTGAGAGAGAGAGCACATGAGAGGGGGGAGGGTCAGAGGGAGAAGCAGACTCCCTGCCGAGGAGCCCGATGCAGGACTCGATCCAGGGACCCCAGGATCATGACCTGAGCTGAAGGCAGTCGCTTAACCAGCTGAGCCACCCAGGCGCCCTATACCACTCCTTTTAATGTGCTTTAATGAGGAATGTTAATTCTGGTAAATTAATGCTTCGTGTCACAGTTGACCTTACTACATTCTGGCTTTCTCCCAGGCTTGCAGATGGGTCAGGGGCTGTGGAGAGTGGCCAGAAACCAGCAGCTACAGCAAGAAGGTTATAGTGAGCAAGGCTACCTCAGCAGAGAGCAGAGCAGGAGGATGGCTGCCAACAACATTTCTAACACCAGTCATCGTAAACAAGTCCAAGGAGGCATTGATATATATCATCTTTTGAAGGCACGGAAATCTAAAGAACAAGAAGGATTCATTAATTTGGAAATGTTGCCCCCTGAGCTAAGCTTTACCATCTTGTCCTACCTGAATGCAACTGACCTCTGCTTAGCTTCATGTGTTTGGCAGGACCTTGCGAATGATGAACTTCTCTGGCAAGGGTAAGTTCATCGTAACATCTTTAATTCAGATATCTCTAAACACAATCATGCTTAAATGTTATTTTTATAATATATATATAAATGTATTATGATGTATTTCTTTTTAACCTTGGTTTGTATTTTGACTTGTTCTTTATTAAAACCCGGAAAGATAATGAGTCATCATCACAGTCAAATTTGATATTGGGAAAAGAAGGACAGTATAAAGGAAATGACTTTACAGTTAGAAGAGAAGTTACCAATGAAGAGGTGCCAGTTTATTCTAGAAATACAAGTTGTTGGGGTGCCTGCCTGCCTCAGTCGGTAGAGCATGCAACTAACTCTTGATCTCAGGGTTGTAAGTTCGAGCCGCACATTAGATGTAGAGATTACCTAACAAAATAATAAAATATCTAAAAAAACATACAAGTGAGAATTTATAATCCAAAACTTAAAGTGTTCACACCCCTGGTAGTTTGTGCTTCCCAAGTGAAGATTGTGTGCTTACTAATTTATATACTTCTATCACAGAGGTGCTTGTTAATATAAACTGTGGTGAATGTTTCATCTATTTTTTATTTTTTCTAACCAACATTTCATCAATGAAGTAGGAAAATAGAACACAAGAAGATAATCTGCTTGCTGAAGTGAAAGTAGACTATAGAAATTGTAGCAGTGATTCTGTCAGTTTAAATTTAACCTATAAATTTACGAATGTTTGGAATAGAATCCATGTAACTTCAGGTACTCCTTAAATAGCATCATATACTTGAGTTGTAAATATGTTACCAAACTTAGAAGAATCTTTGGATCTTGAACTTTGTAGTATCTAAGGTTTATTTAAATCTCATTTCTAGTGATTTAAAACATGTCTAAAAACAAAGGTCTTTTTGTGACTTTAAATAATTTCTAAATGAAAATCTAATTGAGAGAATTCATAAATTATCCAAATAACCAAACTTTAGTAAAAATGTATTACCAACAATAATATTTCTAATGCAGGCTTTCTGATGCTACGGAATTACAGTATTAAATATATAGTTAATTTCTCAACATCTAAATAAATAAAAATCATAAGCATGACCCTGTTACTCTCTCATTGTCTTGTTATAGTGAAGGTACTGTGAAAGTGAGAGGAACTTAGTAGTGTTTAAGGTTATTAATTTCTTAATTGGTAAAAGAAGAAATAAAAATACTTTAACACTGGCTCATTATTTATTTAAAATTTCTGCATTTTAGTATTACCAGAAAACTTAATTTGTAATCCTATATTTGAACTCTGAGAAAAAAAGTTTATTTCTAAGTTATCTGAACTCAGTCAGAATGTCCTCTTTATCTGGGATTTAAATCTGGGTGTGTATTTCTGACAGAAATGCTTCCTTTATTGTTACCACATAATTATGCCTATTTTTATGACACTTGTTTTTTTTTTTCCTTAGTGATAAATTGCTTCTATTTTAAATGGAAGGCCAGCTTAGTTTTTATTTTAACTGTATATGTGTCAAATACTTTTTAATGTTGAGAGGTTCTGTTATTTTCACATAGTTCAGTAATAAAAGTCAAAAGCTATAGGACTAAAAGTTCTGCTAAAATACTGATAATTTTCTAAACAAACTCCTAAACCCACTATTTTAGAATCAGGGATTTCATTTGGTTGGTAAAAATAATGCAAGGATATAAATATTAAGAAGATATTCTCATTAAATTACATATTTTACCCACTATCCTCACAGTTTTTGATGTTACAGGCTGAGACAGTAACTTTCTTGTTACCCTATACACTGTATGTGTGTGACATGAAATTTGAGTCAAAAATCAATAATTAATATCATAAAATGAAACTATTTTAATATCACTACAAGTAGGTGTTTGTGAACACACAAATCAGATAATTTTGAGATAGTCATTAAAAGTGTACTAAAACATAATTGCAGTATTCTCTGTATCTCTAGAGTAATGCACTTATATTTAATGATCTATGGTCTAATGATCCAGAATTTCTAGGCATTATAATAAGATAAAATGAGATAAAACTTTAGCTTTCAAATAATAACCAGTAGCTAATGCCTTTGTAGAGAGTTGGACACAACTATCCCAAACTGCAAAAATCAGTATTTTTTTTATTATGTTGATCACCATACATTACATCATTAGTTTTTTTTTCTTTTTTTATTCTTATGTTAATCCCCATACATTACATCATTAGTTTTTGATGTAGTGTTCTATGATTCATTGTTTGTGCAATAACACCCAGTGCTCCATGCAGAACGTGCCCTCTTTAATACCCATCACCAGGCCAACCCATCCCCCACCCCCCTCCCCTCCAGAACCCTCAGTTTGTTTTTCAGAGTCCATCGTCTCTCATGGTTCATTTCCCCCTCTGATTTCAGTATGTTTTATATGAACTATTAGCATTTTAGGTTTCACAGGATTTTTAAACAATCATGTATCACTGTGATGGTAAAAAAAAAACAAAAAAAAAAAAAAAAAAAAAAAAAACCCAGTGTTTTGAAGCAGCATCTTAAAACAGCTACTCTTAATGTCATACACAGCTTTTGATATATGTCCTGAAGTTAATAGCATAATTTCTGTGTTTATTTTGCCTGTTATCAATATGTATATTGTTAAAAAAAAAAAAAGTTCTCCGCCTACCTAGCGATCTTTGCCCCCATTCAACTTTACTTTGCAACGGATCATAATTACTTAATCCTGTTTAGCTTCTCGGCTAAGATTTCTAGTTCTGGGGGCGCCTGGGTGGCTCAGTTGGTTAAGCGACTGCCTTCAGCTCAGGTCATGATCCCGGAGTCCCGGGATCGAGTCCCGCATCGGGCTCCCTGCTCAGCAGGGAGTCTGCTTCTCCCTCTGACCCTCTTCCCTCTCATGCTCTCTGTCTCTCATTCTCTCTCTCAAATAAATAAATAAAATCTTTAAAAAAAAAAAAAAGATTTCTAGTTCTGGAGTAAGACTCCTTGGGTTCAGGTCAACTCTTTTATCTTTTACTGTGTCTGTGTCTCTTTATCTTCAGCACCAACATCATAGCATTGTTGTAAAGATTAAAAGCAAGTTAATACTAGTATAATGTTTTAAATAGTGCCTAACATCTAGTAAGCACTGGGTAAATGTTATACATTAATAGCTATCATTGCTATTATTAGTAGTAATATTATTAGTAATATTTTCTATTTAACTTATTAGTAATATTAGTAATTATTATTAGTATTATTAGTTATATAGTAATATTTTCTATTTATTATTAGTAATATTTTCTATTTAACTTCAAATAGTACTCATGAATATTATTAATCTTCAACTTGTGTTTATTAAGTACTGTCAGAGTTGCTAAATTGAAAGCATTTGTTGATCATACTCTAGTAAACAAATAAAAAACAAGTACGGAATTAAACATTTTCAACTTTTGAGCTATAAATTTCATGTTACTATTTTATCATGTGTATACATGTTTAACTTAGGAAATTAAATATAGTAATGTTTTCTTGTCTGATTTTATCTTTTATAGGTTATGTAAATCCACTTGGGGTCACTGTTCCATATATAATAAGAACCCACCTCTAGGATTTTCTTTCAGAAAATTGTATATGCAGCTGGATGAAGGCAGCCTCACCTTTAATGCTAACCCAGAGGAGGTAAGTGAAGAATGTGAATATTTGAAATAGTTGAACTTTGTTACTATCTTACTGCAGCTTTCCGATATAATAAACTTGCAAGTAAAGTAACAAGTCGTTGAATATTCCTTTTCAATGAAGAAATCACTGAGAAGCCCACTAAGTAAAGTTAATACTATATAACAGTCATTTCTCTTTACCTTATCAGCTCACATTTTAAATCTTTCCACCTGCTCATGTTGTGTGGCAGCTTCCATGACATATATGCAGTCCTCTACTGGACCTGATTAAAATATGACTACATTGTTTGTGGAGAGCACAGAATATGGTCATCAAATTTTATCTGCAGCATTTTCTTCCTGTTTTATTTTTCTATTTAGTAACGATGCTACTTTTATCAGAGACGATCACAAAGGACATTGTTCATTTGTGATACATCAAAATGTTGTCTTCGTAATGCCTTTAACAGTCCATGTTGCCCTAGAAACTGCTTATAGATTGTCATAAAACTGAATAATTTTATCAAAAAATCAAAATATGAAGACCATTCTTTCACTATTTTATTTTCCCTATTCTCATTTTTGTATATATCCTAGAAAGGTACAGATTCTCAGAAATGTTTTTTGTTTTTTTTTTCCTCAGAAATGTTTAAATGTCTGCTAGGCTTATTCTTAGAAACCTAATACAGCACTTAGAACTACTACTTCTAGGTGAATTCTTTTCTGTGGAAAAATTTAACTGGCAGTTATTTTAATTTAATTTTCAAAAACCAACTTTTTTTCATTTGTTGTAGAGGTATTAAGGGCTATTTAAATTATGCAGTCAAATATTTTTTTTAAATATCTTAACTTTTGCTATGTTATAATTAAAAACCTGTTTCCCCCATGTAAAATATTTGAATATTAAACAAATACTGATTTTAAAAATATGCATGTAATACAAATGACATTTTAAAAATTAAATTGATTTTTACTTATTACATATGATTTCTTAACTTTTCCTTGTATACAATTAAGAAATATAACACCATTGCAAAGCTTTACTGATATACCATCCATTATCAGTTAAGCCTTAGCCCCACAAATATGACAAAATATATATATTATAAAGCCTGGTATAAATATTTAAACGAAGAAATTTGTTCTCTCACTACTGTTTAATAAGAGTTTTGACGTTCAGATTGAATAGAGGACTGATACTTAATTTAGAAGGCAAATGAATAGATAGGCTGTCAAATTTAGGTTTTGTAACTTATGCCTTGATTTAAGTTTTTTCTGATGCATTTTATTATAAAATACACTTGTTTTTACTTTATTTTTGGTCAAATCCAAGTTCTTTTCCTTCTAAATATATAGCAACGGTAAGCGTGTCACTTTTTGATCTTGCCCTACAGCATAGCTACTCTGTACAAGAGATGCTTCTACACTTACATGTTTGAAGAATGGCCTGGTTTCAAAGCCTTCATTATTCTGTTTATTAGAATTTGACATTGCTTGTAGCTAATTAAAACAGTTCATATGACAAACTTTGTAATAACTTTATAATAAGGTACATAAATTGCATTAGTCTAATGATGATTACTGGAGAACCTAGTACAGTATATTACTTTAGATACATAAGGAAAGGCAGCTATTACAAGCCCCAGTCTTATTATGCCCAATTTATCAAGGCGTTCTGGTTCCTGTCATGAATTATACTGATAATGAGCAAAACTGTCATCTTTAATTCATATCACTTACAAATGTTACATTCTAAGGAAAGTATAACTTGGTAAGTACTGAGTTGTAGATTTACCAAGTCAGAAAAGTTGGATGTAACTGCTGATATTGATTATGGTAAGTACTCATTCCTTGCTAAAAGAGTACCAGTTTTTAAAACAAATTATAAAGCCATCATTTTTATGCAAAGATGAAACCACAGATAGGCCCTCTTATACTAGAATATGATATGGATAGTTTTAAATATCTAAATTGGAAAAGCTAGATGTCAAAATATGTTTCCATCTTTGCTACACATATCAGACTATAGAGTTCTTGTTACACCTCCTCTACTGTGTTTGGAGGGGTGGGCAGAGAAAAAAGATAAAATTAAAAGACCTCTTCTTATCTAACAAAACTTTAAAAAAAATTTTTAACTTGAATCTTTTCTAAGAGAGGGGATTGAAGTTATTAATTAAAATAAGATTTTTAGGTTTTCAGATTTTACTTATCCATCCTACCTTCCATTGTTACTGAGAGTTGGCTGTATTTTCTTCTTACTCCCTCCCTTGCCGAACTTAAAGATATCCTAGAGCATTCCAGAAGTGTTGAATTCACTATTCTGAAAGGGGCACACAGTGCTGTCAAGAGGCATAGAACTGAACCTTTCAGAGTGACTTGTGGTTCCAGAATTCTGATTCTATGCTTTTATGAACATCAGTAGCTTAGCAAGTGTGATCTGATAGCAAAATAGAATCCTGTCTTTACCAGAATGCACCTAGGTTATAAATACGCAAAGAAGGACATTGAAATAAATACTTGTAGATGCAGAGAAATGAGGGAAAGTATTTAACAACTATATTCTATATTTTATTTCGTTGACTAATATAAATAATAGCAACTTGGTTGTTTATCCAAGTCAAGCCTTCAGAATTAAATCATGTAATTGAAAGAGTTATCCTAATAGATGTTTTTATATAGAACTTATCTGTATGAGTCATACTTAGCCAGGTCTTAGAATGACTCTTGCCAAGATTTTTGAGCACTAGAAATCAGGAAGTACTTTTTGGAGGTTGATATTTCCACCCCACCCCATTGAAGCACTATCATCAGATGTGTTATTTGGGGTCCATTTAAGCCTGAGAAGTAAATTAGTTTTGATGATATGTGTAAATGTAAGTGTCATTTATTGTAACTACCTGAGGTCAGATGTGTATAATTGTTCAGTATTATAAAAAGTCTACTTTTCCATAATTTCTAGTTCTGTACTTATCATTTTGATAGCAAGCATCATTAAAATATTATAAAAATGAGAATACTTACAGCCACAGGGAACAAGATTCTCCAAAGGACACCGTTCATGTCACGGATATGGGTAACCAAGCTCCACAGCGGCTGCTGGCAATGGCTCATGGGGTGGGGGAGAACTTCCGCACAGCTTGTGGTACGATTCTCTAGCACGCTGTTGTTATCTGCATGATCTTGTGATCTCAGCTGTATGTCAAGTCTTGATCTTGTGCATGAGCTTGTGTACTTTGTGGCAGGTGACCACATTCTAGTCGAGGAATGTGCTAAAAACCATCCCTTTACGTTAGGCTGTATTTCCCCTGCATGTACAACTTACGTGTGTTGATTTTATTCTGCTAGCCGTATTGTAATAAAGTAATTTAACTTCTCAACCGACTAGCTATATTCCCTGAACTCCATTTAGTATGAAACATTTTCTCGACTTAGTTATTTTTAAACTTGGAGTCTAAAAAATTGGGAGCAGACATGGTTTAATTTCAATGTTATAGGTTTTATTTTTGTTTGTGTAAATATGTTTAAAAAAATGTTACTGAATAATATTCTTGGGAGGCCTGGGTGGCTCAGTCAGTTGAGCATCGGACTCTTGGTTTCAGCTCAGGTCATGATCTCAGGCTTTATGGGATTGAGCCCCTCAGCAGGGAGTCTGCTGGAGAGTCTTCCTCTGCCCCCCCCCACCATGTTCGCGTGCTCTCTCTCTCTCAAATAAATAAATAAATCTTTAAAAAAATAATAATATTCCCATGTGGGTCAGTAAAAGCAGTCTTTAACTATATAAGGACAATTTTCTTAGCTTCATAAAGGAAGACCCACATACATGCATATAATTTTATGCATAATTACTAGATTGATCTGGGATAGAATCTATTATGAGAAATATTTTAAATTGGAACTGTGCACACATTTTAGATGGAAATGCATAAACAATTTATTTTTGTGATAATGTAATCTTTTTGTTGTTGGACCAGCTAAAATATAAATGGGAAATTTGTAGTTCTCCATTTTAAAAAGGACCTCAGGAGTTTATACTCAGATATTAAATCTTACTGACTTTCTGCTCCAGTATACAGCAGCAAAATGTTCATTACCATTACTTCATAGCATAGCAACAGTGATGAAAAAAACTTTTATTTTTATTCCTAGGGATAGAAAACCCTGATTGGTATCATCAGAATGTACAGATAATCATTTTCCAAATGTGTTCTTTGGAATAATTATTCCACAGGATAAAGGACATAGTCAAAGGAGTTCCCAAATCTAATAAATTTGACCATGATAGGTTATGATTAGTTGGCTTATTTAAAGAATAACTTTTCAAAGTCTTTAATACACTGATGCACATTGTGAGTATGCGTTGTATGTAGTATCATTCAAATTTATTTGATAAAGTGTTAAATTTATTTGACAGTGTCTTTTTCTTTTGTTTTTTCCTTTGGTAAAGTAACATTCCGGGGGACACGTTCTATGATATGCTAGTATGGATTATCTGTATCTTAACTATGTGTAAATAAATGTATTCCTAAATGGATAGACAGCTAGCTTGACTACCGTCTTGTTCACTGACAGTTATCTGATGTCTATTTTACCAGTGATCCTTTTTCTTTTGAAAGTCTATGAATTTATATTTGTTCTCTTTCCTTTTGTCTGATAGTATTTTAAAAAAATTAAAACTGAGAGTTGTACCTTGAAAGACTGAGAGATTTATGAATGTTCTATATTTTGATTATCATCTAATTTGTTAAGGAAAATGTTACTTTGTAAAATAAAATCTGATAGAAATATTGAATTCAAATAATTACCTTGAGACATTGATACAAGTATTCATATCAAATAATTTATACAGCTCATTTATCATTTCATCCTTGATAGCTCATTCTCTATACTAACTCTGTTATCTCTTGCAACATGGGTATTTTCAGTGAAGGCTGACAGGCCATTAAGATGCTTTTAAGTTTGGCAAATGTACTGCCCACTTTTCCCTGTATGTATCACATAGGGTGTTTGGGCTGGAACGATCAG